CCCGACTGGATTCGTCTGAAATAAGAAAGTCATATACACCTAGGATGCCTCGGGGGTGAGTAAAACACAGCCTAAATTCCATTTTTGGGTGAACTAACCCTTTAAATCCACGCTACATGAACTGGAATAAAAACTCGAATAAATACAAATCTAGAGCCAAACTAAAATTGAAATGAGACACTAGCAATAAATAGTATAGTGAATAAATGAAATAATCATAACTAAAGGACATATTTCGAAATAAGGTGCATTAAAGGAGACATATTATGCCCCTTTTTACAATATGTAATTTAAGTCTCTGGTGTCCCCAGAATGTGTCTGTGAAATTTCAGCTCAAAATACTCCACAGGACTTGCTTTCATCTGTGGAACATGAGAAATGAGGAGACACTGGAACATCTAAGTTCTTTTTTTTCCATCCCTCCAAAAGATCAAATGGTCAGCAAAAATGTTTTGTTACCAACATTCTTCAAACTATAGAATGACAGATGAGAGATAAATTATAACATTTTCATTATTGGGTGAACTGTCACTTTAAAGGAGACATATTATGCCCCTTTTTACAATATGTAATATAAGTCTCTGGTGTCCCCAGAATGTGTCTGTGAAGTTTCAGCTCAAAATACTCCACAGATCATTTATTATATCATTTTGAAAATGCCTATTTTGAGTGGAAGCACAAACACTCTGTTTTTCGGGCCTGTTTCTTTAAATGCAAATGAGCTGCTGCTCCCCGCCCCCTTTTCCAGAATAGAGCTGCGCCTTTACAGCTTGGACCTGCTAAAAACATCTGTTTTGGTTCTGATTATCATGTTTATCGCGCTGAAATCATGCGTTTTAAACCATATGAGTTTAAACTTCTGATATACGGATTTCAGAGAGCACACATCTGAAGCACACGGACAGAAAGTGGCTGTCACAGCATGTGAGTACTAAACTAAGTTCTCATTCACACACAAGTTTACGTTAAAAACACACACGAGTTACAAAAACAGTCGGTTATGTCTGTGAAGGTAAACTGCTGGGAAATAAATCGCATGTTTATTTTAGATCTGTGTGGCAGCAGCAATATACAATAAATAAATCAATAAATTCACTGCTCTGTTGTCTCCTCTGAGGTAGGGACTCTTAAATAGTGTTCTATGCTCGTCTGTGCAGCCAAAGACAGAATAGTTAGCATGTTTTGCTCAAACTTTCGCCATGGCATTAGAACTGGCACACTGTTGTTGCTTGCGAAATCAAATGACGGCGCCGTGGGTGTAAATTTACAGATTAAGGGGCGGTAATATTATAATGAGATCCCTTTGCCACAATAAATAAATCAATAAATTCACTGCTCTGTTGTCTCCTCTGAGGTAGGGACTCTTAAATAGTGTTCTATGCTCGTCTGTGCAGCCAAAGACAGAATAGTTAGCATGTTTTGCTCAAACTTTCGCCATGGCATTAGAACTGGCACACCGTTGTCGCTTGCGAAATCAAAATGACTGTGCCGTGGGTGGAAACTTACAGATTACGAAATCAGACGCGCTCGTTTTCTTAGACGCTTGCAGAAAAAGGCTTACCAAAACAAAGTTACTGGGTTAATCTTTTTCACGTTTCCTTGGTTGGTAGATGCACCGGGGTCCTGATTATAGCACTTAAAACCTGGAAAAGTCAGATTGTCATGATATGTCACCTTTAAAAGTCAATAAATCCTTGATTAACATGAATATTCTAATTAAAAACATATCTCCACGTACTATTCAATAAAATTCTAGTGCATTTAATCTATTTAATAACAGCAGAGTGATTGAGTTTTTGGATATGGTAAGATTAAACTTATTTTAGTGAATAAAGTACCACATTTCAGCTTTCATTTTGTTAGGGAGGGTACACAAAATGTTATTTTATTATCCTTGCTAGCAAATCCTCAATCTATACCAGCTTCATGTGGCCGTAAACATTTAATTTTAACATGGCTTTAAGCACTATGGATCGTTAAAAGTTTCACTTTCACCGTGACTAAACCAGTAAATGTGGCGTTTACATGGAATAATCATGAGTTTATGGTCTGAACCAGAGTCTCTGCTGGGTTACATCAGTAGGAAAGCAAAAAAATGAGCATCTTCCATCCAAAGTCTTGTTTCTCATTTCGGGGCAAAGCAAAAAAACATTGTCGAACAATAATATAAAATGCGGGAAACTATTAATTGGTTATTCTACAATTAATTGTACTATAAATGATACTACAATTGGAAAATACTGTAAATTGATAAAATGTTTGGTGTAATGATGTTTAATGTCTCCGACAGAGCCTGTAGTCCCATTTAGCAACTTCTCAGCAATCATCTTTTTTAAGAAACATAACCGTTTAAAAAAATCACGAGTGCGGTGTAACTGGTGTGTTTTATGTCGTAGAATAAAACGTGAAAGTATCTTGAGCTTGTGTGAACCATTGACCTTATTTTAGGGGATTTAAGCAAACTCCCATTCAAAAATCCCATTGACTCTGGGACGATGGAACAGGAAGTGCTAAAATGCTAACTCGCTTCCGGGTTTTGGCCTACAAAGTGACATCATAGTTCCACCACTCCATAAAGTACAAAAATAGATTTTTTTCTTCTCTAAATTGCAATATTAAAAATGATAACAATATAACATATTATAAATGAATTCAAAAAGATAATTTTTTTTATATTTACATTATATCCTTTTGAATACATATGGAAGCTGAGGTGACCTTGAGCAATGAGCTTCAATTCAGATCTGAGTAGTAATGTAAAATGACAGACATCTGAATATATGAGAAAAAAGTCACCATCAACATCCAGCTGAATCAACATCCTTATCAACCTATGAAACAAATAAATTTCCAAAATTTGTCTGTCATAAATAACCACTGTGTACATAAATGCTTCTCAACATATACACTCACACACTTGAGCACAGCTTTCATTTTAAGAAAACCTCAGTCTGTCTTTCAGAAACTAAAACCACACTGAATATAATCTTTACGTTCGTTTCTGTCCATCAGTAACAGAGAATCTGTCTCATCTGATCTAAGTGGCCCTTATGGGATTTCCCTAGCGTTGTGCTTTACGGTAAGTGCTACAATGGTACATGAAAGCATCCGTACTCCAGTGTATCGATGTCCTAAGTGCGGCTATAATAAAACACTGGACTCAACACAAACAAAAATGTGTGCGTTTATAGACCCTAAACACAGAATAGGTTTTATAGAGTTTTGAGAGGATTTGTCACAGATGGCTGGCAGCTGGCATGATGACCTTAAGGTGCTACAAACACAAAAGTGGCACAGACGACGGTGTAGTTTCCCCCAGCTGATGTCTAGACAACACAAAATGATCAGCTTTGGGATGTGCCAACAGTAGTACAGTGTTTCATACAGATTTATGTATACAGGTGATACTACAAATATGCACAGATACATGTACTACAAATGCCAGTGGCACTTCTTTGCTTTTCACCACCTGTTATTCATAGTACAGTAGAGGGGAAACAACAAAACCAACAAACAACAAAACCCCACACCCACAAACCACCATATATTATTTTACTATTAAGCAAAAAGAGCTTTACACATTACATTTCTTCAAGACTGCAGAAATATTTAAATTAGACTTTTTTTTCAAATAAGGATGCCAGGTTATGTAAACAGGTGTTTTGTAGACAGGTCTTCAAGGTTACTCTATCCCATTTATATGTAATTATAGCAGGCCTATCCACAATCTCAGCAAAACACACATGCTGTCCACTCTCGGTATTATGTATATATGTAACAGCCAAGCAGCACTTCTTCTATTTTCACATCAACAAAGCAATGCTAATTCCACAGTACATTTTGGACAGCTGTATTAGTTACTGAAACCGCAGATGTTTAGGAGGTGAGTTGGTGGTGTAGACATACAGGATTTCCTCTCCAAAGGTCCTGATTAGAGAGTGGTTGATCAAATCAACACAAACCCAGAGATTCTGTTTGGTTCATTTCCAACTCTATGTAAAGAATTCAGTGCTTATTCATGAGATAACACTGAATATGTATTCCGAGCTTTGGAAAGGTCACAGCTGATGAATTCTTCTCACAATCGTCACCTAAAGAGGAAAACGAGTGTTTTACCTTCTGTGCTGAGGCCAGGGCTGGAGGTGAATTTGGCCACATCCACAATCTTCACAGCAAACTGCTGGCCCGTCTCCCTGTTGATGCATCTTCGCACCACACTAAACGGCCCCCTGGAAAGGAAACAAACAGGTAAATTAGAGTCCCGCACATGCTGGGATAAAGATAGGCTATGTTGCAATTAAATTATAGTAAATGAGATGTTCAAATCTTTAAATTGTTGAAATAAACACTTATTTTATACATTTACTCAAAATTAAAAATGAAATATACAGGTAGCCAGTTTAGAAATCATAATGATTATGATCCCTAAAAAGTTCCAATTTTGGTTGATTATTCAGTCTATGACTGGTGATCATTTTTATACAGAGGCCAGCAGCAATGAACAACCTCTTCTACGAGTGGGCAAATAACTATTATTGTCAGTAAAAATCCAGATCTTTCCCAACAGAACAAAAACCACAGTCAAACATAATAACACACATGCCTTAACCTTCCTGCATGAACAATTTTTCATTTAGTTGGCCTCAACATTGCCTTTGTTTCCTCTGCTCTCAAAAAATTTAGCTATTGTTGCTATATTGACCCATGAATTTAATCTTTTACACAGCCAAAAAAAAAAAAAAACTGATAGTAATACGTAGCAAGAACAAGTACCCAACAAGTCATTCATACAATTATACCTCATATGGAAACCACAAGTCATTCATACAATTACACCTTATATGGAAACGTTTTTGAGGGGAAGTGAGATTTTCCGTTTCAACAATGTCATTAGAGCAGTACGTGGCTCGACAGCCCCAAGCTGAGTATCAGCGGCTGAAGTAAAAAGCCTGGCCTCGTTCTAGGAATGAAGGAATGCTCACATCAGCAATGAGAATGATAAGAATGTTCTGCGCGGACTGAGTGTTTGAGGAACAGCAGGGAGTAGAGGCTGGGGAGAGACTGGCTTTCCGTGAAGAACTGTGATCTGATTTCCCAAAGCCTTTAACCCTTCTCAGCGTGAGTTCTGAGTGTTTCTGCAGGCCTGAAGAAAGATGGCAGCAATGGGTTGATGTCAACAGATCTGTTTGTGTTTCTGTCCAATAGGTAAAGATGATTTGCAGTCAGTCGATCAGTCATTCAAAAAAAAAAAAAAAACGGACATGGACATAAACAATTTATCTGAGTAAATGAAACATTAAAGAGAGGAACATTTTAATTCTCATATTATGCAAATAAAATAAATCAGACACAAATTAATATAACTTTATCCAAATGTAAATATTCTTAGGATTTAGCTTCAAGCTTGACAGATCAGATCATCTCTTTTCTTGTAGAGGAATAAAAAAAAAAAAATAAAAAAAAAATTATTTTAAAATATATATATATATCTACAGTGAGTGAAAATGAGCTGGTGTGATATTTACATACTTTAAGCTCAGCGTGGCCACATTTTCAAACTTGACATTTATTCTCTAAATTACATCCGGCGAGTCGGTAAGAATTTCTCACCCTCCTCCTCAGGTACGCAATTTATATTTCATTACAGACGACCCAGTTCACTCTGACCCACAGATTTCCAGACATAAAAATAGACAGACTTTATAAAATATGTGTTGTCAGAACCTCTCTCTGTACAGTTCCCAGGTCAGTGCTCCGCAGAGAACACTTTCAGGCTGGCTGCTGTCTTCCTGTCATCAGAGTTCTCTGGCTGAACTGTTAATGAACTGCAGGTGCAGTGAACATGTGGAGGACAGAGTTTAAGGGAGGAGTGTTTGGAGAGCAGCAGTGCTACATTGTGCCTATAACTGAAGGCTGAAAAAAGTCTTTACTGTCACTTTAGGACAATTTAATGCATCCTTGCTGAATAAAACTTAAATTCCTTTAAAAAATATCGTGACCCCAAAAATTTGAACAGTAGTGTAAATATATATATAAAAAAAATTAAAAAAAGTATTTATCTACGCTGCCAGCATAGGACAGAAGGCAGTATTTTTCAGACAGAGCCATGCAAATCACATACACAGCTCTAGCCAAGTACACAGATCAAGCCTCTCTCATTCACTCATACTTACACAATTAAAATTTAAAAAGCACACAAACACACAGACTGCTGGGGAGTTTTGTCCTACAAGTCACGAGTAATTGAGTTTTTAAGCAGAGCATTTGCTGAGATTTACTAAAGCAATAAGCCACAAGGTTAAAAGGTCTTGTCTGGCACGTCACGATGAATGGGTGCACCATCAGTCTTGTCGCTCATTGCTTTTAAGAAACACCAGCAAGACCATCCATAACAGTAACAATAAATGATTTATAACAATAAATCTCCACCAAGAGATAAAGAGAATTAACCTCATTCAAAAATCAACTCATTATAAAAACCCACATTACATGAGATGTAGAAATCATCATTTTCATCATCATCAAGAAACCAGTAAAGCCAGGGAGCTGGAAAAAAAAGAATGTGTTGTATGACCTTAACATTATAAAACAACATGGTTTTAAGGTGTTAACATGACCTTACATGTTGTCATATTATTGTAATATTATTAAGAATAATTGGTTTACATTTAAATGCACCCAAATCTAATCTCATGTCCTTTGCAACTTACACCAGTCTGCTGACCTTCAAGAAACAAGCAGACACTTCTTAATAAATAAAAGATCTGCATTTCAAGCACAAGTCTATTCTGATTCAGCTATAAAATTGCAATGCCGGCAAACTGGAGAAGAATGCAAATTGAAGAGGTGGTTGAGAGCTTATTATTATCACTGTATCTTGCTAATATGGGTGCGAGAGAGGCTGTGTTTTCCCCAACACAAACTGCTGGAGCAGATGGCGTGTAGCGCAAAGCTGCTTACTGGCAGAGAGCCGAGGTGCAGCCACGCGTGGCTCAGAGCTGGACTCGGCCATGCTAAACTGCTGGAACTGTGGATACATGACACTCAGAAGCGCCATAACATCTGAATGGGCTTTATCTACTTCAATCTGTCATGGTCCTCATGTTGTTTTTGGCATAAACATTCCCTAGACATTACATAAATTACGTTATGTATTAACACCAACCACAAATGCAAAAAACATCCAGATGCACTGTGCTGTTTATTCAAGGCATCAGACGGTATGCATTTATCTGAACTGTTGAGAGTCCTGAAGGAGTTGCGGTGGAGTTTGACGTCCACTGACAGGTTAAACAAACTGACTGTTCCTTTTGTGGGGGGAAAATAATGCTGACTGAGGAATATCTTGCTGGTCCAGTCTCTAAATTTTCTTTCCAACAAAGATCTGAACAATCATATGTTTCAATGCTCATCAAACTGTTTCTAGAGGCTCTTCTTGACATTCAAAATAGTCTCTATGAGAGTTGTCCAGTATGAAATCACAAATTAGTTAAATGGATAATTCACCACTGACAGGATGGGGTTTTAAAAAAAGTTGGTTGTCTATGCAGTAGGGCTGGGCAAAAAAATCGAATGCGATTTTCATGCGAATCTCGTCAGTAAAGCCGCTTCTGGTGATTAGTAGTAAATCTCCAGCACGTGCTTTCAGATGGAGCGGCATTTACTACACAGAGCCGTAGATCACTGACAAGCTACGCAAAATCGCGTTCAAAATCGCAGGCGATTCATTGCCAATCATTATTTTTTTTTATTTACTTTGATACGTATTCACTGACTGAAGTGCTAAAATAAACACGAGCTGACGAGTTAAATCGGGTGTGTTAGATGAGTGAGACAGTGCTGGGCTGCTCCAGGACAGTTTAACATGCAAAAAAATAAGAAATCAGGAAGGGGGCCAACACTTTTTCACACCACTGTATATATGAGGTGCCCTGCTGTGCTGATTTATCATAGCATTATGGGAGTCTTTGCAAACCGAAATGGTGCAGTAAGTGTGCATCGGCCGTTCGCTCCCAGCAGCTGCTATAGACGACAAGCACAAGCAGCGACATGCTGTAGCACACAGTAGGGATGCCGTGTTTGGTGCCAGAAAGAAGCAGGCAGATTAGATAAGACCAGTACAGACATGAGAACAGCGGATACAGGTCACATACACAGGATAAACAAGTCTGGGTAAACCACTTCACAGCAAGTTGAGCAGGTGAATATTTCATTGAAGTGTCTTTCTGTGGAAGAGTGCTGAACGATCATAAATAATGATGAACAGAGAAGATGTCCTCTGCAGCAGTGCATGACAGGGGAAGATGTGCTGGCAGGCAGAAATATGAGGTGAGGAAGGAAAGAAGAGTGAAAACAGGAAAAGAAGCACAGAGAGAGATGTGACGCAGGAAGATGAGAGAAAAGAGAAGTACAGAAGAGGATATAGAGGAGGATGAGAGAATCGGTCAGACAGCAGGGAGGCTGGCAGGGGAAGAACGCTGGTGTTTTGTGACAGCTGGTATCTGTTACAGTGAGCAAGAGATAATGGCGTAGGTGTAGAGTTTCTCCTGTGGAAAATAACTCCTCAGACGGCATGTGTGCGTGGGTACCTGCAGGACACCTGACAAGCTCAGGGTTGCATGTCGGTGAAACATGGCCACACTGCACAGAGAATATTCAGTATTGCACTTAAAAAATAAATAAATAAATATAAGTTGAAAGGTAAGAAAAAATTACTGACAATATTTTGCAATTGTGCAATCGCTGCAATGACAATCGTGCAACTTCATCTTCATTAAAAATCATAGAATAGCATTCGTTATACATTAGGCAAAGGGTCTGTGTGTGCACAGGTGTGTGTACATGAATTAGTGCATGTACTGTGTCAATATGCTTAACTAAGGTCAATGCATAAAACAAATGGACAAATGGAACAACCTCACTGCTGTAACAAGCAATGTGACAGTTTAATGAAGAATGTTAAATGCTTGCTTAGGTCTTGATTAATGTTCACAATACTCACTCAAAACAAACACCATAAACACCAAGCGGAGTCAACTCATCTAGTGTTTCAAAGAGAGAAATAAATATGGGCAGGTAGTAAAACAGAGAACAAGAGATAGGAGGAACTTGCATTCCAGAAAAAAAAAATTCTGTCGAGCATGGGAGTGTGTTGTAAATTCATCTAAACTGCTTAACAAAATAAAAGTGGTATTAAGTGGATTTTAGCTAAATGTTGTAACAGTAGTTT